CATACCCCAACAACTAACACTTTAAATTCGTAGATTAATGATTATGACGAGTAATCAAACACAAGTACATACTTAATCATTAAACTATGCTACATAAATATCATACATCCCACTTTGGCCGAAGTGTAACACTTATTCATGTTTAAGTACATACTTAATCATTAAACTATGCTACATAAATATCATACATCCCACTTTGGCCGAGGTATAACACTTATTCATGTTATGCTAGTAATTCATATATACTATTAAACACTTAATCATTTGGTTCATTGAATATAATATTTCATAATATGTTGTCACTCAAAATTCCATACCAAATCTAATATTTTTCAATCTTTCAATCATTAAAGTTGTCATTTAAGTCGCTCTATTTAACAACTTAGTAAAAAAAATGGAGTAAATTACACGAATGATCCCTATGGTTTGGGGTAATTTACGCGTTTGGTCCCTAACTTATATTTTTAATTCGGAAGGTCTCTACTATTTGTTTTTGTTGCATGTTTGGTCCCTATTTTAACTAAAAGACTATTATTTAAATATAAAAAAATTGTGGGATAGGTAAGGTAAGGTGATGGGGTGGGGTTGGAGGTGTGTTTATTTAAATAAATGAAAAAAATCAATGACAAAATAATCTTTTTAGGTAAGACAGGGACCAAACGTGTAACAAAAACAAACAGTAAGAACTTTCCGAATTAAAAAAAATAAATTAAAAACCAAACGTGCAAATTACCCTAAATCATAGGGACCATTCGTGTAACTTTATAGTAATGGGGATGAAAACAACACACTTAAATTTTAGTTTCAAAATTAACTTTTAAAAGAATTTTGATGATGTTGACTTTTACATCTCAAATTTTAGAAAAAATTATAGGATTGGTTCTTATGATTTGGAGTAATTTATATGTTTGATCTTTAATTTATTTTTTTAACTTGGAAGATCCCTATAATTTGTTTTTGTTGCGCGTTTACTTAAAAAGACTATTTTATCATTGATTTTTTAAATATATTTAAATAAGGTGGAGTAGGTATGTTAAGGTAATGTGAGGTGGAAGTGAGGTTAATGGTGTGTTTATTTAAATAAATTAAAAAATCTATAAAAAATAGTTTTTTTTTATATAAGGCAATGACTAAGCACGCAACAAAAACAAATTATAAGGACCTTCCGAATTAAAAAATAAATTAGGACCAAATGTACAAATTACTCAAAACCATAGGGGCCATTCGCGTAATTTACTCCAAATTTAAGAGACGGAAAAGCCAAGTGCGTTTCATGTAGTTATCATGACAAAATTACGAGGCATCAGTTTCTTTATTCAGGATAAAACAAAACCATAAAATGTGCAGAATTGGAAATCTAGTTTTCTACCCATCAACTTCATCGTGAAAGGTTGCTCTTTAAGACCTCATGTTAGATTTGGCAAATATGTCGTATCAAGACATTAAACGGATTGAAAGGGTTTGATCCTAACCCGACTCGTTTAATTATCGTGTCGTGTCGTGTCAAACCGTTTATTTTCGTATCTTTCGTGTTGGGTTTCGGGTTAAGGTCTAGACTTTGTAAATATGTTGTGTCATGTCTTCTTGAAACATTTTAAAGGTTGGAAAGTATGAGTTATAGATGCAAAAATGAAAAAGTGAAAAGTTAGAAGATGGAATGAAAAAAAAAAAAATTAGAAGGCAAAATGAAAATAGTTGAAGTTAGGGAACAAATGAGATAAGTGGTCAGGATGAATAAAATTAAATTTCTTTGAAAATTTGAATATTATTTTTAATTTTCGAGTTTGATCCACTACAAATCTATAACATATAATATATTTATAAAAAAATATGAAATTTATAATAAATAATATATGATTAAATGGGTCATGCTCGAGTTGAAAGTCTTGACCATAACCTTACTCGTTTAATTATCGTGTCATGTCGTGTCAACCCGTTTACATAAACGTATCAAAATCCTGATCCTAACCCACTAATTTTGTGTCGGATTCGTATCGGGTTTTCGTGCATTGTCATGTTTTGCCAGGTCTACCTCAAGTAAAAAAAATTATTAAAAAAATATATAAGGCACCATATTCATATAGGGCATCGTCAACATGGCGGAGTGAGAAATTATATTACGAATGGTACGTCAAAGAAAAAAAATAGTCGTGAACACCATAAAAAGAAACAATTTATTTACTAAACCAAAACACGATTTAGGTGTGATTTAATAAAAATTACTCCATATTGTTGTAACCCCAAAAGGACCAAAAGTATGGTTCTTAAACATGAAATTGTTGAATATATTGAAAAATCACATGATTATAGAACCGATTTCTCAAACAACTCGATACAATTTCATATAAATTGAATGATTGAATAAACTTGATTATTGAATTAAATTGAAAATTAACATATGATTATATGTTGAGAATTAATGACCGCGTAGAACCGATTTCTCAGACAACTCAATACAATCCCTATTCTAATAAAAGAATAATTTTAATCTTCTTTAAAATGTGTCATCATATTAGGCCTCCTAATTAATATATATTTTATTCTTTTTTTGCTATATATCACCCTATTAAACATCTTAATTCTCTATTTCAAATTTTAAAATTTTCACTTTAATTCCAATAAATTAATAACAATGGAATAAAAATTAAAATAAAATTAATATAAATTATAAGGTGATATAATTTCACATATTTATTTAAAATAACGATTATAATTGATTAATAATTTTGTGTTCTAACTATTAAAATTTAATTACTTTTGTATCCATGGTTTCACGGGTTATAAACTAGTTTCATATAAATTAAGTGATTTAATAAACTATAATTTAACATGCCTCTAGTACCATATATTGAGAATTAATAGCCACATATAACAAAATTTCAACCAAGTCAATATAATTCCATATAAATTGAATGATGATCAACATGCAACCATACTTGATGGAAAACGATGTTAATCGAATGTAAGACATAAATATAATGTCTAATTAGTCATTTAGACAAATGCTAGAATATATAAGTCATAATTATATAAACTTTAAGCTACATAATAATACAGAGAACATAATTGGATTATTTTCCAACAATGCCCACCTTTAAATAGGATGGAGATGCCTTTAGAATGAAAAACGTTCATAAGATTTGTGTTTATTGTAATATCTATTTGAATGTTTGAATGAGAAAAATATATCAAATGAGGTCAAAAAAGTTACAAAAAGATATAAAAAAACAAGGAAAAGAAGTCCAAAACACCTATCTTGTTTGAAAAAAGGAGTATCGGTCTATATTCTTTTTTCCGTAGAAAAATGATATCCATATCTTTATTGATGAAGTCTATTTGAAAGAAAATATTAAGAAATAACTTGAATAGAAAAAGGTACAAAGTTTAATAAAACAAAACTCAATATTGTTCACTTTCTAAAAAGATTGATAATCCGATTATGGTTATTCAACGTATTCTGTAAATTTCTTCAGTTAAGCTAGATCAAAAAGTAAAAAACTCATGGACACCGAATTTTTTTATAGTTATATTGATTGAGTCAAAAAAATCAGATCTGATTAAGTCAGATATAATCCTATATATAACCGAATAAGAGATATATCAAAGGAGTTAAAGACCAATATTTAGCCTCTTATCAAAACCAGAAAGAGATGTCAAACAAACTTAAAACCAAATTGAGAATCTATTTAGTCACAAACCAAATATGAACTATATAAGACATTTTTTCCTCAAATTCACAAATCTTAATAACAAAAGAGAACTTGCGGCTTTTAAAATGTATAATCAAAAAGCAAAAGGAATAATCGTTTCTCAAAATATAGAGAATAAAAAAGTATATCAATTTGGATCCGAGTTTGGTGTCTAGTGGTGGCGTTTGTTGGCAAATTGTAGATGTAAAGTCAGTAGTCAACGCTTGTGACATTTCAGTCTTATTGTTCAAACCATGGAACAGCGGCCAGCTCTTAGGATACACACTACGTCACAACCAACGGCCAGATTTCCCTTTATATAATCGAAATATTTAAAACCTATAAAACATCTTACATGGTTTGTATTTCTTTAGTTCTCTATAATCCAAAGATCGTTTCAAAAGACATACCATCATAATTTTTAAATACTTCTAATGATATTCTAATTATTTGTTATATCGAATTACCAAAGACATTTTTCTTTCTGGTCTTGGTGAAAACTTTTATTTTCAGAGGTGATATTTAGGGTTTTCTTTTATTATGTGTTGTTCGGATAAAACTTTGTTTAAACATTACATTTATTAAAATAAAATCATGTATGAATATTAAAAAAAATGATAAAATGTACAATTCATACGGTCCATATAAACTCATCTTAAAAATCATATAAAATGATATAAAATGTCAATCGCAAAACACTAATAATATTTTAAACATACGAGAGTTTGAACTTTCGACTTTGATGTGGAAATTCACACTTATGCATGAACATTATTATAGATGCGATTCTCTTTGGAGTATTAGATGCTTTTCTTAAATTTTTTAATTTATTTCTTTTTTGAAAAATGAATGTGGGGAATGAATGATATTTTTCTAGGAATAATCATTTTGAGAAGCTTGGACAACAGATTTATGAGAAAATTAAAATATTTGAAAAATCGGATGATCATATCCTAAGATAAAGTTAACACGAGACGGAAATCCAAAAGTAAAATGGGTGTGAGTAAACGTACGTGCATATTATATTATATAATATATTAAAGATAAAACTTCAAAAATGATCGTTGTGGTTTTAAAAAATATTAAGTTTAGTCTCTAAGTTTAAAAAACCTCACAGATGGTCCCTGTGGTTTCAAAACTTTTAACAAATGGTCCTTTCGGCTCACTCCATTAGCATTTCACTGTTAACTCATTTTTTAATAAAATATTGCAGGGATAATTTCATCATTTCAGTTGTAACCTTCTCTCTTTAAAAGAAATTGCATGTCCGATTTTTGGTTTCCCCTTTACCTTATCAGTTGTCTTCTCTCCTCATTTCCACTGTTGCTCGACCGTTGCACCCTTCACGACATCCAATCGCTTCTGATTCAAAGATGGTGACTTGCAGATGTGGAATGAAGCAACGAAGATCACTTCATGGACGGATCGTAACCCTGGAAGAAAATTTTGGAACTGTAGAAGATGTGGTTTCATTCCATGGTCTGATCTTCCTATGTGTGCTAGGGCATTAGTGGTGATTCCAGGTTTGATAAGATCAATGAATCGATTGGAAGAGAGGGTTTTTTGTAACTGTAGAATTGTGGAACTACCAGCTGATGTTGTTTTGTTCATGGGTGTTTTTTTGGTATTATTTTAATCTCTAAGTATCTTGTGAAGGTTTGGATGGTAATGGAGTTTTGGTTTTTGGTTTGTAACCATTGCAGGGTTTTTTTATTTTTATTTTAATCGGATAAGGGTTTTTTTGCTTTCAGTTTATGTAGGTGGTTTTGGAATTGGTGTTGTTGTATTTGGTTTATGTATCAGATTAATGTGTAATACAGTGGTAATGGTAATGGTAATGGAATGTAGTTTGTTATAGTTCATTGTTCAATTTCTTGAATCTTTTTGAAATGCAATTGTTAAGTGTATTGTAAATGCATCTTGAAGATGGTTTTCATTTGCAATTGAAATGTACAATGTTATTAATTGATCTGTGAAGGGTAGTACACTAAACATATTAATTCATTACCAAAAAGTGCATACACACCATTACATTCAAAGTTATAAAGTTCTTAACACAACCATGATGCAAAGTTTTCAAAAGACCTACAACACAAGCATTACATGCAAAGTTTTCAAGTTGTTAACACATCTTCAAACAAGTACACATGACTTAAGTTTCTAAATACCTACAACACCAGCATCCTAATAACCACTAAAAATAGTTTTCAGCCCCCTCCAACTTCATCACTGCCTCCCTGCCCTTTACATGTTCTGGAATTGTGCCCTTTGTTATGACACTTTGAACAAGCGACTGTCAAATATTTCCTACTTAATCTACCAGCTTGGCTGTTTGGCTCATCAACACCCCTCATTCTCTTCTTCTTAGGCCTCCCAACCTACACATATTGATATACTATAGTTAAAATTGAATTCATTCCATGTTCACATATATACTATATATTTGGTGTACTTTAAATATAAACATGTATCTTATGTTTTGGTGGAAGTAAAGTGAATGGGCAGTCACTTTTAGGCCACATTGTACGTCCATTCAATGGATCAATTTTGTTGAAATACATGGCTTTCTATGTTGATAACCTATAGCAAGGATGGACCCATTCATAAACATGTGGGGCATTTTCACCATTTTCAATTTTGTCCCATATAGCACAAACAACATGTTTACATAGGAAACCTGTAATCTCCCAAAACCAACAACTACAACTTTGATCATTCAAGTTTACCACATACTGGTCTTGCCATGTGCATGTCACTTGGTGCTTTCCTGCCCCATTGTATTTATCCACATACTTTGATGCATCAGTCTTAATCTTTTCAAACAGTGTAGTTACAGTAGGGGTTAGAAGTCCTTCACACTTATCTATTTCCTTTTGCACCACACATAACCTCCTCATGAGATACTCTCTAATATACTCTAAGCAAGTGATAATAGGTTCATCCCTACCTTCATCTAGCTTAGAATTGAATACCTCACAAAGGTTATTCAACAAACAATCAGTATGTGCCCTTCCTGAATAATAGATATTAAGAGAAGACAATTACACATATAGTAAACACACAACAGGGAAGATTAACATTTCTCAATAAATTTCTAGAAACTTACCACTAAAGTGAGATTTAGCCCAAGTGTTTGCTGGGATCTTAGACACCCAAGCATGAGCCTCTGCATTGATCTTCTTCAACTCATCCATTGCTCTGTTAAAATGATTGACTGTTGTTGCTCTACCACACTCCCAAAGCAGGTCACTTAAGTCTTTTCCTTTCCATTGTTTCTTCATGTTTTCCTGGATATGCCTCAAACAGAACCTGTGTTCTGCACTAGGGAATACCTTCTCCATTGCTGGTATTATTCCCTAAACAAAAGTCAATGTATGCAACATCAGTTAACCAAATTTATTTAGAAAAGGTAATAAGAAAAGTTAGGTGATACACACCTTTTGTCTATCTGAAATGAAGGTAAAGTTTGAATTTGGTCCCAGATCCAAATCTTCTCCTAACAGTTCCAAGAACCAGGTCCATCTACTTGTTGATTCTGTCTCTACCACTGCATATGCTACATGGTATATGCCATTGTTTGAGTCCAACCCTACAACAGTTAACACTTGCCCAGGGTAAGGGCCCTTCATGAAAGTACCATCCTACCTAGAAAATCTCTTAAACCAGATTTGAATACTAACTTCAATGCACCTAAACAGACATATATTCTTCTAAAAGTTCTTGTGGTAATAAATAGGGAGGTTTCTGGATACACATCAATCCGAACTGTTGTACCAGGATTAATGTTGAGTAGCTCCAATACATAATCCCTCAAAAATCCATACTGTACTTGGTAGTCCCTACTAATGACACGCTCAACCATTGACTTTGCCCTAGCAACCTTTTGCAATGACATTCCTACCTCCAGTTTCTTGCACAACTCTTCGTGTAAAGCTTTCACTGGAATTTTAGGGTTACTCTGTATTTTTTGAACAATTAAGTTTGCTATGTATATGGAAGTTCAAGCTTTAACCGCCCTTGTTTGCAAACATTTATGCTCATCCTGTACTGTTTTCACCAACTAATATTGATTTTCATTAGCCCTTGATATTTGGACTTCCCATGGACATGTACCTTTATTGGCAATTACATCTTTACCCTTGCACTTTGCCCTACTTCTAGTTGAGGGCCCACTACCATCAACTCTTGTAGAAGGATTACTTACAACACCTTTACATTTCACCCTAATCCGAATTTTGACATTTTTGGCTAGGTATAAAGATCTCCTTATTGCTATAGCATGTGAGTTCATGTAGTTTTTAACATCAAACTTGGTTTTGAAGACCTGGCCAATCTGAAATGGTTTAACATGAACCTCTCCATGTGAGCATGTACTTGACTTACTCAACTCTTTTAGCAGGCTCTTCCTATCATCTTCATGAAATCCTGCAAATTGATAATCATCAGTGGCAATAACTTCCAACTCATCATCAACCATGTCAATCCCTTCATATTTTGAATGATTGTTCAAGATTCCATGTTCATCTACATCAACATCATTATGGAATTCACTCATGTCTACATCTACATCAAATTGTATGTCAGACTCATCCACATTGTATTCACTGTCATCAGAATCATCTCTACTATCCTCAGAACCATGGCCACTCTCAGAGTAGAAAGCCTTTCCACTATCATCACTCACCATGCCCTCTAGATAATCCACTTTTGGTTGTTTTTCAAATGAAGTTTCAACATTAAACTCAACATCATAATCAACATAAAGTGAGTAATCCTCTATAAATGGTTCATAGTCATCAACTGTTGTAGTATTAGCTCCATCATCAGCTTGGCAGCTTGGTTCCTGTACATGGTAAGTTCCCAATGGTTCTTCAGTTTCAACTACACTAGTGATCACTTCTTCTTGAGTTTCAATTTCATGATTCACCACTTTCTTTTGAATGACATGACTTTGTTTGCCTTATGAACTTATAAATGGTAGAATACTCTTTGAGTAATTATGGCCTTCATCAACATCTAACACTTGTGACTGATCATAATCAGGGTTCATAGACTTGTTTATATCAAGCTTTCTACTACATGATCCTGATTCTCATCTACAAGGTTTCTTTCTACTCATTTCAGGTGACACACTATCAGGCTCCTAATCTTAATAACAACTTTAGAAGGAGACTTGTAATAACTAGCTACCCTTGTCTGACCAGTTTCAATATACACCCTAATAAGTCTGTGTTTAGGGACATATGATACCATTTTAAGTACATCTTGATCATTAACTAAAGGCATTAAGCCATAGTCCATAGGGTATTCAGGGATACAGAGATGGTAGTAAAGGGTTTGCTCAATTTTGTACCCTAGTTCTCGAACCATGTCTTCAAGCTCATGAACTGAAAATAAATCAGTGTCAACATCATCTACATATGCTACAACACCATCAACGTATTTCCTTCCATGTGCTTTGGTGTAGACACCACTGTAGTGTATCTTCAATGTGAAGTAGTTGTCATAACCTTCTGTAAACACAAAAAAAAAGAGTAAAATCAATGATTTCCTCATGTCAACACAATAGACAAAGAAAAAACAAGTTTTGTTGTAGTATTGTGCCGTATCTTTTTCCTAAGTCCTCCACGGTTACAAATTTTTCTCGAAAACACCATATTGATAGCACAATTGCAATTTCTGCAGCTTAAAACCCTAAATCCTAATTTCTGTTCTTGCTTCTACGATGGGAATGAACCCGATGACTAAACTTGTAATTGGTTATCTTCTTGGGAGAGGGATGGGTAGTGATGTGCAAGCAACATGTAATCATTTCATATTAAAGAGAGAAGGTTACAACTGAAATGATGAAATTACCCATGCAATATTTTATTAAAAAATGAGTTAGTGCTGAAATGCTAACGGAGTGAGCCGGAAGGACCATTTGTTAAAAGTTTTGAAACCACAGGGACCATCTGTAAGGTTTTTTGAACTTAGGGAATAAACTTGATATTTTTGGAAACCACATGGACCATTTTTGAAGTTTTGTCTATATTAAATCTAAGACCTTTTTAGGGACAGTATTTTGTTCCTATTGTACCAAACTTTTTTTTTGGGTTTTGGTCCACAAGATTTATTTATTTATTTAATATATATTAAATATTTTCTGCACTTGCACCCGTCTGTATACTCCAATAAATATAGGCTTGGTCTACACGTGCTTCTTTTTCCATACTATTGGTTAGATAGACTGGGTTCCTTCGTTTCTCTTTATTCCACCGCATATAGGTTAGAAGAACATTCTACATGTTTCGCCCTTCTCCCTTTTCTCT